GAGTGCTAGGCGCACCCATTTATTACTTGAATACTTGACGTAACCCCAGCCTGACTAATTTAACCTTCATCCTTTAATTAATTAAAGATTAAAATTGCTCAGAAGCTTTTGACCGCACACTTCAATTTTAATCAATTTCAAAATCAACCCCACTATCAATTTCCGTTGGTGCATATTTTACACATTAGTTTACACATAAAATCATATTTACCATTTTGGAACCAAGAATCATCATTTCAATCATTTTGTAGGTATTATATTCTTTAATTTGATTCTATTAGTTTCCCTTATATTATTTAATTTCGAGTAGGCTTTGGTATAACCCTCCTACTCTTTGTAACCCTTTCTTTATTTATAAATTGGTGGGGTGTTCCCTGGCCCCCACCCCAAAAAGCTTTTGGTTTTTTGGTTTAAAACCAGGTTAAAAAATCATGTTTTTAAAACTCATTATATATCCTAAATGCCTTTCATATATGTGTGCTTATATTTACCAACTTTAGTTTTCTGAAAAATTTAAATTTCAATCATTCTAATTTTTTTTGTTAAGTACATTTTAAACATTTTTGTTATTATTAACTATTATTTGTACCATTTCAGTTTTTGGAAGATTAAGATAAAATTATTAATTTACTTTAGAAGTGATAAAAATTAAAAATTTAATTTTAAAAAACTGCAATACTTATTTTTTATATGGAACAGATATGCCTTATGTTTATAATTTCTTTTATTATTCATAATACACTTGTAAAGAATAAAAATAACCACAAAATATATTTTCTCAAGTTTCAAAGGATGAAAAATAATTTCCTAAATAAATCTAAAAAGTCTAAGCATCCGAATTTGTTTAGTTTTTGTCTGGTTTGATCTAGCTAGTCTAGGAGAGGGTCCTCACTCTTTTTGTAGTTGGTTTGCTTTGTATGGTGGCTTCCATGGCTGGTTGAGACCCTAATCTGGGACGACGCTTCAGAGGTCGAGGGGTCTGTACGGGTAAAGGGTCGGTCCAATTATCCCTGTAGTTCTTTATGTCATTCCCAGATATTATTGTGAAAGTGGTTCCTCGTTTGGTCAATGGGTAGTTCCGTTGCTCGTTTGGACCACTAGTTTATCCTTGATCGAGTGTGTGGGTCGTGAGTTTGGATGTACTCCTCATCCGTCTTGTTGGAAGGTTCTCATGAGTAAATGACACGATCTTTTAGGCAAGTGATGAAATAAAGTAATTTGGGTAACAAAAGAGATGAAAGAGAAAATTTAGAAAAAGTAAACATATAAAGTAAAAGTAATTAAATAGAGATAAGTTGAGGCGAGGAGAAATTATGAGACTTGACATATAATGAGTAGGAAAGAGAAATTTGAATAAAAGTGTAATTAAAGAGAGTGAATTATTTCCTAAAATGAAATGAGAATCTTTAAGTGAGACACCTAAATAAGGAAAGTGGAAACATTTCAACAGGATGAAGAGAGTACTACGTAATAAATATGATTATTAATGGCTTTTCAAATAATGTCAATTATTAAATCCTAAAAACAATTAAGTTAACTAATATAAAAAAGATTTATTTAAGTATGAATGTTTTGATTTTATAATTTTCAATTTTAAAAAACATTATTTTTGTATAAAAACAATTGGAGAGTAATAATCAATTAAAAAGAAAAAAAAGAAAAAAGGGGATGATGTGAAATCATGTGATGCTAGGTATGTGAGAACTGAAAGTTGGGTTGACGCAACAAAAGTAAAGTCTAGGAGTAAATCGTCCGATCTTGTGACATTGTGAGTGCGCAAAGTAAGAAATACCGTTTAATTTCTTTTATGAGCATATGCTTATACACATATACAATTAGATAGAAATATACCATTAGGCGTTGGCTCACGACCTATCCGCCTCTACGTCGTCTAAGATTTTCCAATATTTCTACCTGCCTATGATCCCCTATATTAGTGATATCAATATAACCTAAGAACAACAAATCATTATAATTGACTGAGCACGTAAGAAAGATGTTCTAGGCCACCATAGTTTCTATAAAAAAGATGAAATGTTCATCATGAATATAGTCCATTTGTAACATTTTTTCGATTCAATAACTTTATTAGATCCTTTTATCAAAAACTTAACTTTTTTGATCTCACACTCTAAGTTAGAGTTCTGTATGAATTAATCAAAATAGGTAAGAAATTAATTTTATAACTGAATTGGAAGAATTTGTTGAAGATCAATGACTATTTTAACTATTCTCATTCAAATTTTCTCTATTAATTAATATATTGATTTTAGAACAAAACATTCATAATTCAAAAAAAAAAAAAAAGATCCAACCGAACGGGGTCATAATTTCATTCTTAAAATGATGTAGTACTTTAACTTTTCTAATTAAAGTTTTCAACGTTATGTACATTTTTTTAGAGTACTTCTAGATTAAGCACTTATCTTAGTATTTATACTCCTTTTTGACAAGATTGATATCTTGACTTTATGGCTGACATAAACTTTTGCGTCGAGATAAGACTTCAACATTTTAATTGATAATTCGTATTTATAGATTAAATATAAAAATTAAAAAATCATTTGCGTCGAGATAGTACTTCATTTTATTTATTTATTTAATTTTTTTAACATTATGTACATTTTTAGATTACTTTATTTAATTAGGTTAAAGACTTATCTTAGTATTTATACTCCATGTAATCATATTCATATGTTGTCTTTGTATTATATCTTAATTTTATATGTTCATTATTATATTTATCTGTTGCTCATTATCCCCACATAGGTTTAAATAGGCATATTCCTCAACACTAACTCAAAAAAGTTAAGGGAAGATTCCCAAAATAAGAGTAAAAACATTTGGGGATTCCAAAATAAGGCTTCAAATTTTAACTCATAATTTATTTATATTTTGAAGAGTTGAACAGAAGTTATATTGATTAATTATAGAAGTTTTAAAATCATTATTTGTCATCAAAAAAATTCATTATTTCATTCTTGGTATGAAGTAGTACTCCAGTTTGTATTTATTTATTTAGTTTTTTAATGTTATGTACATTTTTATAGAACTTTAGATTAATAACTTTTGATCTCACACTCTAAGGTGTGTATTGATTAAAATAAGTCAGGTTGAAATCAATTTAATAACTAAATTGGAAGAATTTGTTGAAGATCGGTGACTATTTTAGCTATTTTCACTCAAATTTTATTCATTAATTAATGAATTAATTTTAGAATAAAACCTTTCATAATTCAATAGATTCAACCAAATAGGATCGTAGTTTCATTCTTAGAATGACCGGTGTATAGTAGTATTTTAACTTTTTTAATTTATTTTTTCAATGTTATGTACATTTTTCAGAGTACTTCTAGATTAAGGACTCATCTTAGTATTTATACTCCATGTAAACAAGATCGATATCTTGACTTTATGGTTGGCATAAACTTCTACATCGAAATAAGACTTCAACATTTTAAATCATAATTTGTATATATTTGAAGATTTGAACACAAGTTGTATTGATTAATTATAAAAATTTAAAAATTATAATTTTATTCTCGGAATGAAGTAGTACTTGACTTTTTATTTATTATTTATTAAGTTCTTTAGCGATATATAAACTTTTAGAGTACTATAGGTTAACGACTTATCTTAATATTAATACTTCATGAAACCACAAACAAAAAACTTGTTCAATTTAATTTTAACCTTTTCCCCTTAAAAAGCACAATTTGGTTAATCCGATTTCTGTAAACATCACAAGTTAATATCTTAAGTTCGTAAATTTTTAGAGAAATAAAAATGGTGTATTGCTGAGAAAATTACGATTAAAGTTCAATGATATGATGTCTCCACACAAAATTTCAATTCACATTTTTAATAATTCAGACTTTTCAGTTTGAATTGGTATCGTCGAAGTTGGTTAAAACTGAAACGGAAACCGATTAACTATGACTAATTCACCTTTTTTGTTGAGCTTCATTTTTGGTTTGGTTTAATTTAGTTGCTGTTTTTTGTTGTTGAAGGAACTTGGTTGCTCATTTAATTTGGTTGCTGTTATTTTTTCCAACTCGTTTTTTTTTGAATGATTTCCAATTCGCTGTTATGTTTTCGATTTGGGCAAATCATCATGAATCCAAAAGGTAAATGTGAGAACAAAGGGTAAATTTCATAGTTTTATGTACAATTTCTAACTACAACCAGGTGCCAATAGTAGTAATATACGGTGTACGTATTTAAAATTGATACCAACACTATAAGTAGTCAACTATGTACGAAGTATTTAAAATTCATATTCATGGCTGGTTGAATTACTTAAAATAGAAATGAGGACAAGACATATATATATATATACACATAATTGACTTTAATTGGAGACTAGTAGTTTTTTTTTTTTTTGAAATTGGAGACTGGTAGTTAGTTAAATTACTGGTAATGCTATAAGCATATCATGCATTTGATTAGTCTAAATTCTAAAATCAACATTTCATCATTTATTTATAGTTAAGTTCAATTACAATATTCTAATTAATCCATGTGGACTTTGAGAGTACTATAAAATATACCTAATTTATGTTGCACTGCATCCTTAAATGAGTCAAATAGTATATTTAAATGTTACAAATTAAATGCCGAAGCGTGGGTAAAAACTATGAAGTACACAATATATTACTCTGTCATGGTTGTCATGGTTGAATGTTCTCATTGCAAAATGACACTGTTATTTAGTCAATAATTAAATAAGCTAATTTGAGTATATTTTGAAAAACGTTTTAATGGATATATAATATAATCGTGTCATTGATGTAACTGTGTTGTTATAGACTTATATATAGATGCATTTTTTTAATATTTAATTATTAAATTGTCATTTAATAGTGTTAATTGTTTGCTAAAATAGAAAATTTGAAAAATCTTTACTTTCTAAGAAAGTGGAAACCTTAAATTGATGTGTAGTCCGCATTAGACTAGATATGGACTCCGTATTAGAATGGATGTGTAGTCTACGAACAATGCGCATGGATTCTCTCCCCAAGTTATAAAGTTCAAGAATTTCATCTTAGCTACCAAGTAGAACTTCATTTCTTCAATTCAAAATGGAAAATGAGAATAATAAGTTCATTTCAATCACCGCTGAAGAGCTAAAGAGGCACAACAAAGAAGGGGATCTATGGATATCCATTCACGGCAAGGTGTACGATGTTTCAGAGTGGGCCCAACACCACCCCGGCGGCGAGTACCCTCTCCTCACCCTCTCCGGCCAAGACTCCACCGACGCCTTTCTCGCCTACCACCCCAACATGTCACCCCACCACCTCACAAGATTCTTCACCGGCTTTGACCTCGTTGACTACCATGTTTCCGAGGTGTCAAAGGATTACATACACCTCGTCTCCCACTTCTCCAACTCCGGCCTATTCCACGATAAAGGCCACTTGGCGTTTTTCTACGTGGCAGCCATGTCAGCCATGTTTCTTACTAGCGTGTATGGCGTTGTCTTTGGTGGGAGCTTTTGGGTGCATTTTGTGTGTGCTTTGGTGATGGGGTCTCTGTGGGTTCAGGCTGGGTGGGTAGGGCATGACTCGGGCCACTATGACATCATGAGAACCAGAAGAGCGAGCCGGGTGGCTCAGCTCCTAGTCGTGAACTGCATGTCAGGGATGAGCATATGGTGGTGGAAGTGGAACCACAACGCCCACCACATCGCATGCAACACCGTTGACTTTGACCCCGACATCCAGCTCATGCCTTTCCTTGCCGTGTCATCCAAGCTTTTCATGACCAACTCATCAATCCTCTCTCATTTCTACAAAAAGAGAATGACTTTCGACTCCCTGGCTAGATTCTTGGTCAGTTACCAGCACTGGACATTTTACCCAATCATGCTCTTTCTTGCCAGAGCAAACATGTTTGTACAATCTTGGACAACTTTGTTAACCAAGAAGAACATAGTTGAAGCAAACCGGAATCTTGAGATATTAGGGCTGGCCGCCTTCACTATTTGGTACCCGTTCTTGCTCTCCTACTTACCCAGTTTCTCTGAGAGGCTAATGTTCGTTGTGGTTAGCCTTATGGTGACAGGGATGCAACACATACAACTGAGTTTTAGCCACTTCACGTCCATGTTTTTTGTGGGGCCGTTGACCGGTCAAGACTGGATTGAGAAGCAGGTTCTAATAATGTAGATTTATGTCACAAATAGGTTTTATATGATATGGTGTTTGGAATCGATTGTGCTTCTGGCTCATTTTAAAAGTAGAAGTAGAATCACAGTAAGATTTTCAAAAGCCGATTTTGTCAATTTCTCCAAAACTATTTCTAGCAATAATTTGAAGCATTTAAAAGTACTTCTACACTGTGACTCAAAAACTTTAATATTTAAAACTACTTCGTGAAGGCAGAACTAGTTTTAAAAAGTAGATCCAAGCACTCCAATCCCACTATCAGTTTGGTTAAGCGTGTTCATTATTTTTCACAGGTTCAAGGGACGCTCAATCTCGTGTGTCCTCCTTGGATGGACTGGTTCTATGGAGGAATGCAGTTCCAGATTGAGCACCACCTATTTCCAAGAATGCCGGGGTGTCAGCTTCGGAGGCTGGTTCCCTTTGTTAAAGAGCTCTGCGAAAAGCATGGATTGACTTATAGCTGTGAGACTTATTTCAAGGCAAATGTGTTAACCTATAGATCGCTTCGAAAGGCAGCATATGAAGCTCGGGGTTCGACGACGTCGTTGGATGTTCAGCCCAAAAACTTGGTGTGGGAAGCCTTGAATACCTATGGTTAATTAACCGTTACTTTAAGCACAAGAAAGATATAGAACTTTAATATTCCAGAGCAAAAATATACGAAGTATATTACCTCCCTCCCATTTTAGTTGGCCATCATTGACTTTTTTAGTCAATAATGATAAACTTTGGTTAATCATTTTAAGATTTATATTTTAGTAAAAAATATAAATTTTATACTTCTATGATAATACTTTTAACAATTTTTTTCATATTACTTTCATATTTTAAATACCTTCAATTGATCAAAATCTAGCATCTTTAACTGAAAAAGTCAAAGATGACTAGATGAGTAACTAAAGTACTCCGTAATACATACGTAGTATATACGGTTTCATACGTCCAAATCGCCAGTGCCGTAATTTTTTTTTGCACAAAGCTTAATAAAGTGAGATAAATGTCACAATTAATTAAAAGTTACCGCCCTTTAAAATGTGTCACCCCTAAAAGCGAAGTTAAAAATCTGCCTAAGCATGAAATTCTAATGCTCCCTCCGTATTTTTTGTTCTCTACAATAGGGTTGGCCACAATATTTAAGGATGAAATAGTAGGGGTAATGAATAGTGTAGAAAAAGTAGGAGAGAAGGTGGTTAAGTATGAAAGAGAAAATAAAAAGTAGGAAAAATAAGGGTAATTGAGTATTTTTTTAAAGGAAAAAACTTACCAAGCAAAAATGAAAAGTGTAGCAAACTTTTAAATACATCCCAAAAAGGAAACTGTAACAAACTTTAAAATACGAAGGGAGTATGAGAAATACTGGTATGAGACGGAGGAAATGCTATTTTAGAATATGTTTGGCATAACTAGCTGAAAAGATACTTTTGTGAGTTTTTTTAATAACCGTTAGCTTTTAGTGACTGAAAAGATCTTAAAAGAAAAATGAGATAGCTGTTTGGTAAAAAGCTGACTGTTAGATTTAGATTTGTTTAATATTTAAAGCTGTTAGGACAAATTAACACTAAAAGTCACTGACTTTTCTCGGATGCTACTCCCGGTAGCATCTAAAAAAAACTCTTAAAATTTGTCATGTCAAACATACAACTAGAATCTTTTAGAGACTTCTTAAATAGTATAAAAACTTGAAAACAAAGACTTTTATCTGCCAAACATGCACCTAATTTATTTGTAGTGGACCGCTACCTCGTTGGCTCAATGACCCAATCCTAAACCCGCACACAGAAAAGCATTAGATTTGTTTCAATTGTGGCCCTCCCCAAAACATTAGATGTAGAGAAACATCAATATGCATGTTTTAGTAATCCTTTTTAGCATATGTTAAATATCTCACACCGGAAAAGTTTGGATGAAACGAGTGCTATATTAAGCTCTGGGTTACTCCTTCTAACAGGTTGACCTTTTAGGATGGAATCTCGTGTCTTAACATGGTATCAGAGCCAAACCGATCCATGGTGTGGGCCCCATATGAAAAATGACGACATGATTATATAAAAAATATGACAATGACGAACCAATGAAAAAATGAATGATGGCACGATCGAGAAGAATTGTCTGGTCGTGAGGAGGAGTGTTAAATATCCCACACCATAAAAGTTTGGATGAAACGAGTGCTATATTAAGCTCTGGGTTACTCCTCCTAACAGGTTGACCTTTTAGGATGGAATCCCGTGTCTTAACAGCATAGAGAGTATTAGAGCAATTAGCTACAAAATTAATGATATCAACATTGCTATACATACATGACTAGTTCTACATATGAAATGCTTAAAGATTAACTTTATGACTACTGCGTAATAGGTATTATGATATTTTAACTTTCATAAAAACATCGTACTTTTGAATGGTTCTTTTAATAATTACGATATTAAAGTGATTTTAACAACACTAAATAAGATGTGATCATATGAATAAGAAAATTGATTATAATAAATCTAAATAACAAAAAGCTTTTAGAAAACAACATACAATTGTAAACTGATACTAATGATAGGTACCAAATGTCCTTTAATTTGAGTTTCAATTATTGTTCAAAGCTATTTCTAACACATCAATTGCACAAACACAATTTATAGTCTTTATAAGGAAATTGGAAGCAAATTTTGGAAAATTGAAAACAAAAAAGTGAGATATAATTTTTTTGAGAAATTATCTCCAATATAACTAAAATATACGAATATGTGTTTTCCAAATATATGACTACATATGATTTTTCTTCAAATGATGCATGATACCATTATTGATTAATTAAAAAAATTATAATTCCATTCTCGGTATGAATTGAAGTAGTACTTCAATTTTTTTTATCTATTTAGTTTTTTAATATTATGTACATTTCTAGAGTATTTTAGGTTAATGACTTATCTTAGTGTTTATATCTTAATTTTAAATGTCCATTATATTTGTCTGTTACTTATTATCCTCACATTAATTATGCATATTCCTCAACACTAACTCGAAAAAATTAAGGAAAAATTCCCCAAAATAAGAGTAAAAACGTTTTGGGACTCCATAATGAGACTTCAACATTTTAAATTATAATTTGTATTTGAAGACTTGAACTCAAGTTATATTCATTAATTATAAAAACTAAAAAAGCATAATTTCATTCTCATTGTGAAGTAGTATTTAGTTTTTTATTCATTTAATTTTGTAACGTTATGTACATTTCTTGAGTACTTTAGGATAATGGCTTTTCATCTCACACTGTAAGTTGTGTATTAATCAATAAGGTTGAACTTAATTTTATAACTGAATTGGATGAATTTGTTGAAGATCAATGACTATTTTAGCTATTTTAACTCAAATTATCTTTATTAATTAATAAATTAATTATAAAACAAAACTTTCATAATTCAACATATTCAACTAACCGGTGTCATAATTACATTCTTAGAATGATGTTGCACTTTAACTTGTTTAATTTAAACAATTTAATTTAAATAATTTTGTAACGTTATGTACATTTTTTAGAGTACTTCTAGATTAAGGACTTTTCTTAGTATGTATACTCCATGTAAACAAGATCGTTATTTTTGACTTTATGGCTGACATAAACTTTTGTATTGAAATGAGAGTTCAACATTTTACGGTTTTTTTCTTCAAAAATATTACTAAAATAAAGCTTATTTACATAAATATGACTAATAGTTACTACAATGTAATGTTATGGTAACTTAAGTTTAAAAATTGAATATAAATTACTATGATTTCATTACTACTGTAGTCACTAATTACATTTTTGTAAACAATCTATATTTTAGTCTTATTTTTTTCACATTTAAACCATAATTCGTATTTGAAGATTTGAACGCAAGTTATATTGATTAATTTTAAAAGTTAAAAAATCATAATTTTATTCTCAATGTACTTTATCTTAAAAGTACTTTATCTTTTTTTTTTTTGAAAAGACAAGGCTTATATTATGGGTTTTTTACAAGAATATTACTAAAATAAAACTTATTTACATAAATATGACTATTCATTACTACAACGTAGTGTTGTGGTAACTTAAGTTCAAAACTTGAACATGAATTACTATGATTTCATTACTACTCTAGTAACTAGTCATATTTTTGTAAATCATCTTTATTTTGGTCATATTTATGTAATTATTTCTTATATTATCATCAAGAACCCGCATAACATCATTCAGACAAACACTCCCATATCGATCACCAATCCTAGAATTAGTCATAGAATTATATGTGCTAAAAGTACAACAATTCGCTAACCACCGAACGAGTAACTTGAAGGTGACCAAACTATAAAGATTGTTCCACATAACACCCACCAAATGATGAGTGCTCCAAACCACAGTCTTAATAACAAACAACTTAGTGTCCTGACCAATAAAACCATAAACAACAAAATACTAACCGAAAGAACAAATTTGAAAATAAAACTGAAAGTCAATGAAATGAAGTCGCGTGCTTGCACAACCCATCTTCAGTTTTCCGGGCGAGCCTATTGTCCAGAGCTCACCTCCAATCCTGTTTTTTTCTGCCTATGTCTTCAAACCTCCATCATAGCATGATCTGTCGTTGCTATTTCCTCTTCCACCCGACGCCGCTTTTGCTCACCAACTAGTATGTCATCCTTTTGCTTACATGGATCCTTGGTCTCACCTGCAAACACATCAGAACAAGAACTCATATCCATTAGCTCTTTCTCCGGTGGAACCACCCCATTCCCACATAATTACTAATTTCCTGTTTGTTTTCTTTTTCTTGCACAAACCACTTATTACCTCCACCTCCACTACTACACCCACTGCTTGCTCTCATAGTCTCATCCATGACCCAAATTTATTAATTTGTGCCGAACCTGGTTTTCCTAAAATATGAGGGCAGAACCTATCACCATGCCCAATAACACCACATGCAAAACAGAAATTAGGAAGTTTCTCATATCTTAAATCTACCCATAAGCAATCCCCATTTGTTTTTTGAACCTTCAAGTTTTTCTTAAGCAGTTGCCCTATAACAAGACAAACTATAATCCTCAAATAGGCCCTCCAATGCCCATTAAACTGGTTGTCACCAAGCTTTACAAAGCTTCCCAAATTATTAAAAATAATTTTTGCAACCCTTAAAGTTAAATAACCAACCAGCAAATTATGCACCTGAATTCAAAATTTTGAGAGATATAAAGGAACTTTCAGAAGTAAATCATCAGAATTTAGTTCGTGCAACACCACAAGCCCCCACTCATAAAGCCACGGGCTATACTCAGTAACACGCCTCATATTAGTTTCATGGTAAAAGGAAAAGAGATACCTCTTATCACCAATTTCTTTTATTGCAACATTATCTCCAAATTGAGGCCATTGTGTCCCTGAACGGAAGGAATTTCATCGTCTTTTCCGTTACAACTGTAACCACCAATAACCACTTTGACAGACCCCCTCTTGTTCTTTATCGCCGTTTGCATCCGGCATAATTAAATCCACCCCTTCACCATCGTCATCTCCCGGTTGAAGCTGGCCATAACAAGCAATGAGCCCTTGTTGTGCTCCCATATTTCTCCTT